CCCGATCGGGAAAAAGTCGCGGAAATTGAAAGATGTTAATAAAGGTACCGACTCGTGAAGGGGGAAATTGTCAAAAGAGACTGGATGATTGATCAGTCGAATGGTTTTACGATCCGTTGGATAATGTCAATCTTCGTTGGGGAATTTCCCTCACTTTCCCAAGGCTCTTCGCATCAGTAGTGAAGAGGTAAAACAGAATAGGTCAATTCCAGAGCTGTCCACTTTTTTATGGATATTTCTGAGTCTGAGGGAAATGACAAAAATGGTAGAAACAATTTTTTGTGAAAGAGATATGACGTTTTTGAATGCAATAAAACTCTTTGGCATTTTTTTGTGTCAATAATATTTGTATTCAGGGCTGATGAATGTATTTATTTCAATAAATATTTATTCATCGATTTTATAAATGCATTTTTTATACAAATTAGTAGCGAAGTGGTAAAACGGTTTAAGTCGACTTATTTCCCAGTTGAGTTTTTGAAGAATATTTCCGAATCTAAGAGAAATAGCGGAATTGTCGTAATTACATTTGTTGTAGCTCTTAATTGGCTCTACAAAAAAGGTTATAACAAAAATTTTTCTACCTCCCTTAGATTCCGAGATATTCATTGAAAACTGCCGAACAGTCAAAATTGACTTATACCGTTTTACCACTTCCCTACTGAAGTAGAAACGCAAATGAAAATTCATATGATTTTTAATAGAATTGACGCAAAAAAATAAAGGAATTGAAATTATCCATTCATCGTAATAAAATCCACGAAGGAGAAGCTTGGAAAATTTTTATTCAAAACTTCTTATAGAAATGAACACAATAAAACGAGTTATATAGAAAATCAACATCTGAATGCTTTTTTCTACGAAAAAATATCTATTGAATTTTTTTTTATCCGTTGAATGGTTAATAGAATTGGCATTCTGTATATCTAGAATTGGCTTGTTATAAAAAACAAATCTAGAAATATAAAAAAAAACAGTATAATTCCCTAAAGAAACCGCTAGAATTTTCTATTAAATTTTTTCGTACGTGATTCTTTCAGAAATGAAAGCTTAACTTGAATTCTGAGCTCAACGCGAATGAAAAAGACTTTAACTTGGTCAGCAAATGACGAGGGGTCAACTACGGGGACAACCGCATTCCACCGAGCGTCACCGAAATTCTGCAAATATTTTCTCTCTATTCTTGATTTTTCTACCGAAATTTTAGGGCATAAATTTTTCAAGTTTTCTCCGTTGTATTTTCATTTTCATTGTGTTTTCAACAACGGCATCAATATGTCTCACCCAATTGCCCCCTCCGCACTAATCATCACTCAAAATACTAGCGAAAAAATCACGTGGCCCATTCATTACCCAATTAACGGAGAATCGACACGTCATCAAAATTCTGGAGGGGTTAATGGGAGATTAAATTGGTCATTTGGCATTTCGGTTAGCCGCAATCTAGTGTCATGGTGTTTCGACCAGGTGCAGCGGCGAGAGGGGGGAATATACCGCAGCAAATAAACGAGAGATACCCTCTTAACGCATCGTCGCATTAATTCTGCAATCCAATATAGTACGGGTTCTACCAACGGGGCTTCAATGGAATCACGAATCTCGGCGCAAACGTGTAGACTTTTACTTTAAAATTCAATATCATTACGGTAGTTTTTTTTTATCGGGGGGGGGGGGGGGAAATCGGAGAAAATGTAATGAATAAAAAATTTCCATCAGTTGTAATTGATTGACGTAAATTTTATTCGCTCGGGGGATTTTAGATATTGGAACAGAACAAGTTGTTTTTATTTGTTTTTGAATGGGTATTGAACCACTTTGTTTACGAGGGATTTAGGGGCAATGTGAAAAAACTTGTTTCGGGATTTTGTTATACTGGGGGAAGTGATGGGTTTGAATCGGATAAAATTATTTGTTTGAGTTTTTTTATTCGTTTCGATGAAAGCCGGGAGCTATTCTGGGGATCCAGTGTTTACGCCTCGTGGAATACTCAATTATCTCGTTAATTAGCTGTTTCAGGAAAAAATTGTTGGAGATATTTTTTGTTGCAAATTTTATCAGCTACAAAAAAGCTTTTATGACGTTTTCTCCTAGAGTCACTCGCTTTGGTGATAAAATTACAATTTAACAAATTGAATTTTTTCTTCTTCTTCTTTTGCATGAAAAGCTGGATAAATTCATTAGTTTTTGTGCTGAATAAAAAAAAACAATTGATAAAATCAATTTTCAAAATTTATTATCAATTTATTATTATTGTTAATACGAGAATTGTTTGTTTATGTTAAAGATATACAAATGCTTTCTTTTTTTCGTTATATATTTGTATTATCAGGATTTCCCCCTGTGAAAATGATATCATCTGTCAAAAAACAGTGAATAAAATGAATTAAAAATTAAAAAATTAGAATTTCCAAATTCCAAAGAATAATCTAAAAAGCGACACTAAATTATTCACCTCTGCATTTTCATTTTTCCATCAGCTCTAAATTATTCAAAATAATAAATAATTCCCATCTCCAGATGTTCCACAATTCTACAATATAATTCATGAATTCCATTAAAAAATCATTCGAACTAAATCCCCAGCCCGCAGTCTCCTACTTTCTTCCGCCTCGTTAAATACTGAATTATCTCGTTGACCAATAATTTTACGAAAAAATGTCAGGAGACATTTTTCTTCGTAAATTTTCTTAGCTACAAAAAAGGTCTTATCAAATTTTCTCCTAGAGTCACTTCCTTCTGAGATAAACCCCCGAAATTAAAACAAAAAAACTCGACTCGTCTCAAACTCCAAAAAATCACGTAAAAAATGACTCGAAAATTGAAAATAATAGAATCATAAAATGATGAAATAATAATAATAATAAAATTCAAAATAATGAATAATTCCCACGTCTAGATCCCCCACAACTCGCCACCATAATTCATTAATTCCTTAGAAAAATCATATTTCGTTACCCAGCAATTTTACGAAAAAATATCAAAAGACATTTATTTTCGTAAATGTTCTCAGCTACAAAAAAGGTCCTATCAATTTTCCTCCTAGAGTCCCTCCCTTCCGAGATAAACCCCCAAAATGAAAACCCCAAATCTCGACTCATCCCAAACTCCAAAAAATGACTCAAAAATACTTCAGTAATTCCCAAAATTATTCATAACAGCAAATCTCCATCTGTCCCCGAAAAATCGGCGCGTTAATTCATTCACTCTGTTTTAAAATCGTGCGTCGACTCCAACCGTACCTCATACACGTCAAACGTGTAAACCTATCTCTGACACGAACGTAGCTCGAATCATGGGACCGTTACCTCCACGCCGCATGGCACAACAGCCGAAGGTACCCAGTGCGTTAAACCCTCGGTATTGATAAGCACCCAATAAAAGCAATATGCGGGAGTAGTTTGGCCGCAAAAGGCGCCGTTTTCTAGGACTCAACAGCCAAAAAACGCGCCCGAATAAACTTTAGTATTCGCGTTTTTTACATTTATCCCGAAACGTTACAACCACATGTACTCGTTGTATCTATTCTCTCGTATTCGATCGTTATAGCCCGTTCGGTTCCAACTCGCTGCCCCACGAGTGGCGGCCACACGACCGGCGCGATAAAAGAGCGAAAGAATAGCTGAAGTTGAATAAAAAAATATTGCGGGGGAAAACGAACCCTGTGTTATCTTTTATAGCTGGGGAATGGCTGAGTGAAATTTACCATTTTTTTTTCCGTTGCAGGACTTTTTTCAGAGCTTTAAAATGTAATTTGATTTATTTAAATCGCGTCACTTGGTCTAGAGATATTTACGATTGATTAAAGATAATTCATTTAATCCACAATTTCCTGATGTTAGAATTACTTGATTTTAATCATTAATAACTCAAGATTCGCAGACTGAAATTTCCCAAACTTTTTTTTGTTTTCAAGATACTTTTTAGAGTTTTAAAATGAAATTTGATTTATCCAAATCGCGTTATTTGGTCTAGAGATATATACGATTGATTAAAAGTAATTCAATTAGACCATAATTTCCTGAAATTCCAGAATGACTCCATTTCAATCATTAATAACTCAGGAGTGGCTGAGTGCAATTCCTCCAATTTTTTTTCGTTGTCAAGATATTTTTTAGAGTTTTAAAACGAAATTCGATTCATTTGAATCACATCATTTGATCTACAGATATTCACAATTGATTAAAGCGAGTTATTTTTATCCACATTTCCCTCCAGAGACAGCACCATAAAAATGACTCGATTTCAATCATCAATAATTCAAGATTAGCAGAGTGAAACCTCCCAACTTTTATTCCATTCTCAAGATATCTTCTCAATCTTCAAAATGAAATTTGATTTATCCAAATCGCATCATTTAATCTACAGATATTCTCAATTGATTGAAGTGAGTTTATTTAACCCACATCTCCCTCCAGAGACAGCACCATAAAAATGACTCGATTTCAATCATCAATAATTCAAGATTAGCAGAGTGAAACCTCCCAACTTTTATTCCATTCTCAAGATATCTTCTCAATCTTCAAAATGAAATTTGATTTATCCAAATCGCATCATTTAATCTACAGATATTCTCAATTGATTGAAGTGAGTTTATTTAACCCACATCTCCCTCCAGAGACAGCACCATAAAAATGACTCGATTTCAATCATCAATAATTCAAGATTAGCAGAGTGAAGCCTTCCAACTTTTATTCCATTCTCAAGATATCTTCTCAATCTTCAAAATGAAATTTGATTTATCCAAATCGCATCATTTAATCTACAGATATTCTCAATTGATTGAAGCGAGTTTATTTAACCCACATCTCCCTCCAGAGACAGCACCATAAAAATGACTCGATTTCAATCACCAATAACTCAATATTGGCAGAGTGAAATCCCCCAATTTTTTTCCCATTCCAAGCCCACTTTTCCAATCTTGAAAATGAAATTTAACAACTCAAAATCGCCCCATTCGTTCACAAGCTCCCGCAAAAATAAGAAACATGATTTAACCTCACCCTTATTCAAACCCCGACGAAATAATGTTCCATCCACATGACGTTGTAATCAGGACGTGAAGGGGGGAATGTTCTCTCGACTGAGCGAGCGAGAGATAAACGAGAGGATGCAGGACACAGTCTCACGCACGAGATATGATGCAAAATAATCTAAACGTACTGATAAAAAAATCCAGAGCCAATTTCACTCCCGAGCACTTGTTCCCACGTTTGACCCCACGAGTGACGTTTTTTAAACGACAATATTTTTCATTTAACCCAACTGCAGGGACCGGCATACACACCTATGACCTAGTGGCGATGAAATTCCTCGCAGGTGTACATTGCGAAGGCCTTCTGTAACTTGTACTGGGTGAGGAGCTGACACGATACACTCGACACTGCTGGGATCCTCCCCACAACTGCAGTTTTGATCGAAAACAACGATTCTGGGGGGCAATGAGGAGCTTTAGGTGGGGACACCTGTTTCAGGATGAGTGGCAGCACTGGGCAATCACTCGCCACAACGCGATGACTACGATTTTTCGGTTCTAAAAGGGATTTTACGGCATTTTTGGGGATCGTTCGGGGGGAAGTTTGAGATTTTCCGGGCTCTCTCGCTCCAAAACCGAACGCTCCGAGAATGTACCGGCCGCCATTTTGAAGGGAGCGGCGGGGGGAGGGAGAATGTCGAGAGGAATGCGAAAATGGCGACGCCATCTCCCGGCGGACGCGGAAACGTCGGGTTTGAGCGCTTGGGTTCTGTTGACTCGCTCTGGATTTTTGGTGTTTGTTGAATTATCGGAGGGATTGAGTGCGTGAGGGATATTTATTCAGTTGTTTTCGGTGGGGGCTCGATTGGAGAACTGGAATTGAGGATTCCGAAGTGATACAGTGTTTGTGAAATAACGGGGGAGTTCAACAAAATTCGTAGTGGACTTGGTTGCGTCGACTAGGTGAGTGAACTCTTGGCTAATTCAACTTTTGTCAAATTGAACTTCCGTCAACAAAACCTCGGATTTGTCTTGTCTTTTTGGGAGAATATCAGTAGTTTGTTTGTCATTTATTTCATTGAAGCCCTGTTAATGCTCTATTCCTGTGTTTTTGTACTATTCTACTGGAGTTTTTGAAAGTTTTTGAAAGTTTCTCGAAGTTCAAGCTGTTCACGTTTTATTTCTTCAAGTCGATATGAAGTTTTTTCAACGGAAGTTTTTTAAACATGGACCCAATAATGGATGCATCATGAAATAGGGGAGGATGGGGTAAAATGGACACTGGTCTTTTTTTAAATTACTCATAACTCAGAAACAAATTTATCAATTGAACTCAGTTGGGGCTCGTCACAAAGGAAAATAATTGTTCTTTATATTGAAAGAAATTATTAAATTTTAGCAACATTACAACCCCTCATTAACATTTAAAAAACAGTGACAAGTGTCCGTTTTACCCCAACTTCCCCTATCATGAAATACATTACTTTAAAATTTGAAGATATTAGACACTACATTAGTACGAAAAAAATTTTATGTGAAAATCTGGCGGATTTGGTAGGAAGATCTAACAATACTACAGATTTTTTTATAGAACTCTATAGAAAGTCTATAAATATATATATAGAATAGATATATTAATCTATAGGAATTCTGTGGAGGTCTATAGAGCTCTATAGAATGCATATATATTTCTATAGGCCCTCTATGAAGCTCTATAGGTCTTCTATGAAGATCTATGGAGTGTCTATAGAGTTTTATAGAGACGCCATTTTTATTTTTCTACAGGTGTTTATTTTGAAAAGAAATCTATAAACATCTCCTGAATTAGCTAGGAAATTCTATAGAAATTTTGATTCGTTTCCTACAGAAATTCTGTAGAATTCTATAGAAATTCTTCGACTCCAATTTTTGATTTTTTGTTTGATTTTTTTTTTCGTGGAAAAAGAAGAAAAATAGAGATTGGAAAAAAATTACAAAAATTCAAAAATATGTTAATTATTTGTTTTAATAATGTGTTAATGTATTAAATAATTTCTATTGCACATTTTCTGTAGAAAAACGCTCAGTAGCACTGCAGAATCTTCAATAGAACCTCAATATAAATCCGAAAGAATTTCCTATCGCATTCGCCAGATTTTTCTACAAAATTTTTTCATCGGTACAGTTATAAACAATTCAATTATCCTTTGGTCTTCTTCCGTGGTTTTCCCGCGCTCAAAATGTTCTTGCGCACCCGCCATCATGAATATAGACAAATCAACTCGCGTCATCTCTCGTGAAGCGACCGAACGTTGAAGTTCAAACGAAACGAGAATCGTTCGAATTTCCAATAATTATTCTCTTAGAGGTAAAAATAAATATTTATACCTCTAATAATCATTCAAATGATTGCGATTCCCTCATCATCAGGAATTATTTTTCGTCCGAACAATCTCAATCTTAAAAACTGCCCAATCATCTGGAAAATTGGAATTTCTATTTCTGTTGATGAAAATTTTCTCTCCCATTCGGTCATCGGTGTTAATTGGCTCATAATTTATTCAACGTTGTCCAATTTTTTGTTCGTTAACAAAACCATCTGGCAAACGGTGGGAGATACTAAAGAGAAATTTATCTCGTCGACAAGCGGGTAATCGATTAAACCGCAAAGTGAATCATCAATTCCGGCATCTTTAATCCCACAGCTGTAGTCAAGTGAATGATTATTAAGATAAGTAAGGTTCAATGAAAAATAGACGATTGGATGACTGAACAAATAACACTGAGAACTGCTTTACGAATTCCAGTTGCTCGACAACTAGGAAAAAATTTAATAGATAATCTGGCGAATTTGCTAAAAAACTCTGGTTTTGCATCGGATTTTTCTTGGAATAAATTCTATAGAAATTTTTTCTTTCATGTTTATTTAACTTGAATATTATGCAATTTGAAAGTGACAAAAATAAATTGATGCTAATCTATTGTATTAAATGTCGTAATTAAAATTTTCTTAAAAACTGTGGAAAAATTTGAAAAGTTTAGGCACAAGAATTTTCAAGAGACGAGAAAATTAAGAGAAGAAATCAGGCTGGAAAATATAAATTTATTGGCTTTTTTGTATTGAATATTTATCAGAAAATCTCGTGGAAAGGTGACAAAATTTACAAAAGGAAAAATAGACTGCAATTCTATTTTTTATAGTATTTCAATAGAATTTTTGTAGAGATTCAAAGTAAAATAGATGAAAAGGCTAGCGCATTCACTACAGAATTCTATTGTTATTACATTGGATATTCTATTGAAAAATTCTTTTTAGTTTTGTTTGTATCTATTTAAAAAATTGGGATTTTTTATTCACTATTAGCTAGACAAGAATCAATAGATGTCAATTCCCCTCTATAATTTATTCTATTGCCACAAATTCTTAAATTTTTTCTCCTTCGATTCAAAAAATAGAAATTTAAAAAAGGGAGAAAACTTGGAAAATGAATTCCCAAAAATTTTTAATCCAAGAAAAATGTAATCAATCATTTAAAAAATGATAAAATCAATTGGTTAATTGATTAAATCTACTTTAATTAAAAATTCCCAGCGAAGGGCTGGATTTTTCCATTAAATTGTTTTATAAATTAATTAATTCCATTGAATTACTTCTTTACAAAGTCAACTGACGAAATCAAATACAATTAATCAACAAAAAAAAGAACAAAATTAGTTAATGAATGAAACCCTTGCGGAGTCAATTGACAAATAAAACTTCAATAAAATTTTTATAGAACTCCAACACAAATTCAATCAATCAATAAACAAACAATAAAATAGATAAATAAATTAAATACCTGCGGAGTCAATTGAAATGAGATGAAATTTCAACCTTGAAAATAATAATTTATTTACAGGATAGTTACAATGGATCTGGTACACCGACTTTAAACAATTTTCAGTCAATAACAAATTGGATAATAGAACCAGGTTTATTACGAAAATCAGCGGATCCGGATGCTATTTTTTTACATTTATTCTTAACAGTTGCGAGATTAATACCGCTATGCACGCACGGCACTGTTACGTACCGCTCGTTGTGGAAGGATTGAGGAATGGGGGGAATGAGGATAGGTCTATGAATGGCGAGTGTGCTCGACCGATCTCCAAGGATGCATCCGAGGAAAAATATTCACAGAAAAGAAAAATCGCGAGGCAGCGATCCTCTCTCCCTGCAATCTCACAACTTATCCCATTTTCAGTTCTAAAAATCAGTTGTTTTTTTTTATAAAAAAATTAATTCAGAATTTGGTTGTATCCTATGAAAACGAGTCAATGAAGACGAGAACAACTACAATATCCGTTGTTTCTTTTTAGATTGAGATTTCCTCGCATTATTTTTAGATATGAAGACATTACGAGGTAAAATTCGTTTACAGTTAATTTTTTTAGAAACGGACAACAAATTTCATGGAAAAAACTAGGGCATTCACTAGTTTTTTTTTTGAGAAAAATTAATCGCAATTTTTCATTTTATAGAATTTATTCATTACATTTTATAATTCAAAAATTAGAAAAGTAAAAGTCAATTTCTGAATTAAGTAAATTAAATTGACTTAACTCAAAAATTAAAACGATAAAAAAATATTTTCTTCTAAAAAAAATAAAGAAAAACTAATAGTTTTCAATAGAAATAATATAGAAATCCAATAGAATTTTATAACGAATACGCCAAGTTTTTCTATAGAATTTTTTCGTACGTGAATTAATTAATTAAAAGATTTTCGTTCCCCACACAATTCTAAATTCATGCTGTTCGCGAATCACACAATTACTGAAAATTTGTAATTTGTTTATAATATTTGTAAGGAAAACAAAATAACTCGATGATTTTGATCATGAAAAAATCTAGAGCATTCGTTAGAAAAATTTAAATTAAAAAACCATTGAATTAAAATTTTGAATTTTCTCTATTGGAAATTCAAAAGTTTATTTTTTATTAGAATAATTAATAGAATTTGATCTTTCTATACAACTTTTCGCTGAGGTATTTTCTATAGAAATTCCTCGACATGATTTTTCTCTTTTTTATCTAGAATGTTTTCCTCGCTTCAACGAAAAAAACGGAAAACTGTGGAAAATAAATCGGAAAATATTTTCTAGTGAAAAATATTCGTTGAGAAACTAATAGAATTTCTATAGAAATCCAATAGAATTTTTTAGCGAATGCTCTCGGTTTTTCTACAGAATTTTTTTGTACGTGAATGAATGAATTAAAAGATTTTCGTGCCCCACACTTAATTCTACATTCATGTTGTTTGCGATCCACGCAATTACTAAAAATCTCTAATTTGTTTATAATATTTGTAAGGAAAACAAAATAACTCGACAATTTTTATCATGAAAAAATCTAGTGCATTCGTTAGAAAAATTTAAATTAAAAAACCATTGAATTAAAATTTTGAATTTTCTCTATTGGAAATTCAAAAGTTTATTTTTTATTAGAATAATTAATAGAATTTGATCATTCTATACAACTTTTCGCTGAGGTATTTTCTATAGAAATTCCTCGACATGATTTTTCTCTTTTTTAACTAGAATGTTTTCCTCGCTTCAACGAAAAAACGGAAAACTGTGGAAAATAAATCGGAAAATATTTTCTAGTGAAAAATATTCATTGAGAAACTAATAGAATTTCTATAGAAATCCAATAGAATTTTTTAGCGAATGCTCTCGGTTTTTCTACAGAATTTTTTTGTACGTGGATGAATGAATTAAAAGATTTTCGTGCCCCACACTTAATTCTACATTCATGATGTTTGCGATTCACACAATTACTCAGAAAGATTTCTAATTCATTAATAATGTTCCTAACGACAATAAAATAACTCGACAATTTTCATCTCTGTTTATTTCTACAAACTTTCACACAGTCAGCAAACCCATCCATTACACACACTTCAATTAATCTCACTATCCGTTGACAATTCAATGACTCACTG